GTGTTTATCCAGCTCTCCACCTTATTATCTCAGATTCTCTAACATCTGCAGTTCCTGCTATCTCTGCATGTTTTCTTTGACTGAGGGTGGAAAGAGGAGGAGGGGAAAGGTCATATTGACAATCGCGATCGAACCAAAAGTGGGTGGAGGAAGGGGCGGGATGCATTTGCCTTTCGGAAAGGGGGAGAGGAAAAAGAAAGCCGGCAGCGGAGGAGGGGCAGTCGGTTCTGCACGGCAAGGAAAGGGGTCGCGTGACATGTGTTCGCGCTCTAGCCAACCCCCCCCAGTGCCGGAGGGGCGTTGGAGAGTGCTGGGCAGTGGAAGGCAGCATCGGGCCACGTGATCCGGTGGTGGTGGAGGAGGAGGAGCCGGTGGAAAGACGAGCTGGAGGTTGTCGTCGTCAAGGTTTTGAGCAGCGCCGCTGGGCGAGCAGAGGCGCGGAGTCACGCAGCAGCAGTAAGCAGCCAATTGTCGCTCCGGTGACAATCCACTGAGTACGGCACTGCCTGCGGGACGGGTCAACCGAGCAGCGGGGGAGACAGGTGAGCCGCGGTCGCGTTGATTGAGCCGTCTCTAGGATCCCGAAGGCGGTGAGTGCTGCTTGTGGTGGGAGTGAGCGAGAGACCGCTCTCTTAAACCGAGCGTCTTCTCTGTCTTTGGGGGTGGCGGGGTATGGGGGTTGGATGTACATGTCAGGGATCTCCTTGATGGATCGAGGTTTTGAAGAGGTGGGCTATTTGTTCAGGTGCCGCGGCATTATTTCTAAACCGGGACTAACCCCTCTGCCTCCGTTCCAGTCGGCAGTGATGGGTCTGCTATCGGAAGGGTCGCCATTGAACTGGGACGAAACGAAGAGATACGCCGATCACGTCCGCAAGCATGGCATCATCCAGTTCCTCAACATCTATCACAAAGTGAAGGACCGCCAGAAGGATGTGCTGAAGTGGGGAGACGAGGTAAGGAGGTAGATCCCGCTTCTGCTGAGCTGTGTTCAGTTCTCTCTCTTGCTCCCCGCCGGGTCATGTGTGTTTCCTTCTGGGACGATCTCCTCATACAGTCGGCGACCGGTCAAAGCGCCAGATGGGGCGTGGGACGAGTAATAGAAAATTCTAGACGTCCAGCAATCTGTGCTCACTTGGATCCTGAAAGGCAAAGTTGATAGTTGTGTTCTGTTTTGAGTGCCCTCCCCTTGTACGCTGTCACATGGTTTAAACTCTCAAAATCAGCTTGTCTCTTATCCATCAGAGTCTGCCAAATCTTGCAAATTTAACACGGGTAACAAACAGTCAAAAGTGCACGTTTGATCGTTGAATGAAGTAAAACTTCGCAACTGTTACTTATGCTCAATTCAGTGACCTCCTTTATGAAAAATCTGGAGACGGGGGGAGAAAGTACCTAAACTGTAAGTCTTGAAATGAAGGCGGAGAACGCAGGAAATAATCAAGTCTGTCAAGAGAGAGACTTTGATCTTAAGTTCTGATCAAAGATCATTGACTTAAAACATTAAACTGCTAAACGTTGCATTTTCTGTTTTTATTGTTAATTAAACATATTTTGTAAAACTCCTTGCAAGGGTTAAAATAGGTGAGTCATGATTTGTCTGAAGAGTGGATGTTCAATAATTTGTTTCCTTCATTCAACATCCTGTGATCTCTGGCACAAAAGATAGAAGACAAAACTTAGGTTTTATGTGGTATCATCTGTGATTTTAGCTTTTTAAAAATGTTTTCAAGTAATTTTGAATGGGGAGGCAATGGCCTAGTGGTATTATTGCTGGACTGTTAGTCCAGACACCTGGATAATATTCTGGGGACCAGGTTCAATTCCCACCACAGCAGATAGTAGAATTTGAATTCAGTATCTATCTGGAATTAAGAATCTAGTGATGACCATGAATCCATTGCCAATTGTTGGAAAAACCCACCCGGTTCATTAATGTCCTGCTGTCCTTACCTGGTCTGGGCCTACACGTGACTCCAGACTCTGAACTGTCCTCTGGGCAATTATGGATGGACAATAAATGCTGCCTAGCCAGCGACGTCTTCATCCCGTTAATGAATAAAGGGGGGATTTTGTACCATAGTCACAATTATAGCAACACAGCTAATTTGTGCACAGTAGGGTCGGAAAAAACAGCAATGATCAGATAATCTGCTTCAGGGTGCATAATAATCAGATCGCTGGAGACGATGGACCTGCGGTCTCTTGAATAGTGCAATGAGATGTTTCAAGTCAATTTAAAGAGCTGACTGAACCTTTGTTCGACATCTTATTCAAAAGACTTTACCTGTGTATCACTCCCTTAATACTGTATCAAGGAAGAGATGGGCAATATATTGAATGCCCCTTGATGACAGATCCAGCTGTGTTTGTTGTAAATGCAAAGTCTTTAAGTAGATGTTTTGGTAAACTAATGCTCATTGCTACATGTAGAAACTTTACATATTGTTGAGTGGTGTATGATTCTGGATGTCTGATATGATGCTTTAGACTCCTGGATATCCTGCAGGGAGTTGTTGATGGACCAATGATGTATATGCATCTTGCAAGTCATTGTTTGGAAATTAGTTTGTCTTGATTCTTGTTATCATATTGACTAGATAGTTCATATGTTTGTCAGAATGTTTGCTTCACTGAATCAACAGGAGTTTACAATGCATTGGTTAATATTGATTGAAGAATTTATGGCAGAAACAGATCATTCAGCTTATTGGGTCAATGCTAGCTCCCTCTGAAGCAACTTACTTGGTCCCTGTAATTCCTTCAAATGCCCATACATTTTCCTTTGAAATCACTGCTTCAACTTGGAACAGAGAAACGGCTAAGAGGAGAATTATAAAACTGCTTAATCCGTAAGGATTTAGCCAGAATAAATGTTTTAAAATAACTATTTCCTATGTCTAAAGGGCATAGATAAGTGATTGGGTAAATTCCCCCAAACTTCTTTTGTGCATAGTTTCTACAGTATTGCTTTTCAACATTTTACCGAAATGAATTGTGGTTAGGAGTTAAAATTGCAATGTTTGAATTTAGTTTATAATTTGTGGTATGGGTTGAAATCTTTGAGGTTATGCATGATTTTATTTTTCCTTTTTTATATGCTTGTTCAATTTATTTTCTTACGTGTACCCAAACAAACATTTTTATTAAGTTGAATTTTAAAATTCAATGTGTGCTGTATCTTGAGGTGCTTGTCCACAGATTCCTGAAAGTGGGTTAATGGGGTAGTTAAGGCAAATAGGACACTTGTGTTCAACAGTTGTGTATAGACTATAAGAGCAGAGAGGCCATTTTGGAGCTTTACAGAACTTTTGGTTAGGCCACAACTGGAGTACTATGGCTACACCTATAGGAAGGATGTGCACTGGATAGGGTGCAAAGGAGATTCACCAGGATGTTGGCTGGGGTGGACTATTTCAGTCTGAAGAGAGGCTGCATAATTGGAGCAGAAAAGGTTGAAGGTGGACCTAAATGTGTATAAATTTGATGGCCATGGACAGGGTGAATAGAAAGCACCTGTTCCCCTTAGTTGAAGAGTCAATAACAAAGGGGCATTTTAAAGTAATAGGTAGGTTTAGAGGGGATTTGTGCAAGAACATTTTCATCAGGGAGGGTTGAGGGGGTCTGGAATGCACTGCCTGAGAGGATAGTTGAGGCAGAAACCTTCAAACCTTTCAAGTACTTGTTTAGTGTCATAACATATGGGCCTAGAGCAAGAAAATAGGATTAGTGTAGGTAGTATAATTTTGGTGGTACAGACTCTGAGCAGTAGGACATCTTCTTCTGTGCTGTATGATTCCAAATAACTGAGTGTTTTCAAATTACGGACGTTTTATTCCACAAGGTTGGAAGATTCATAATTTGCCATTACATTACAGTTGGTTTGCATTCGTAAAAACGATTGTGCCCTGGCATGCACAAGACTATTTTTAAAAAGAGGTCCATATAAACATCCCTCATGAAAGTAGTCATATCTACTTTGGCTTTAAGTATTGCAAATGCTGCTTTGGCTTGAGTTAATAGAGAGCTGTTCTTAAGGTGCAGTGGGTTCCTCTATGACAAGACTTTAATGTGTATATATAGAACTTGGTGTAATAGCCAGCTATTTGCATAGATGCACCAATGCTTTCACTTTCTTGCATCTGAAAGAATGTGACTTCACTTCCCCATTTCTCATAAGGTCAATTCATCAGCAGTGGTATCTTGGGACGTTATTTAGTACTATAGTTACCCTTGCCACTGACAATAATCTGTCATGTGGTTCTGGAATTTATAATTTGTGGGAAAGCAGTAATCCAGTTCTTGATGACATAGACGATCAGGTAGCAAATAGAAAATTGATCAGATATATTAAATGTATGTCTGATAACACTGTTAGTAAATTGTGTAAATGGAAGCAGGATTTTGCAGAGAAAGAATGAAAGGTTAAGTGGCAAAACTTTGGCAAATAAAATTGTCAGAAAGTATAAGTTTATCCATTTGCAGGATCTAGACTATCTGGTTGAATATCTTACAAACCTATAAATTAGGTGCAGGAGTAGGTCACTCAGTCTCTTGAGCCTGCTGCACCATTCAGCAAGGTGGTGGCTGAACACTCCACATCCTTTCACCTCATTATTTACTGAGAATGTATGAACGTCTGCCTTAAAAATAATCCGATTCTGCTTCCACCATTTGAGGAAGAGTTCCCAAACCTCATGATGCCCTGGGAGGAAAAAAAAGTCTCCTTATCCCTGCCTGAAATAATATCTTATTTTAAAGTAGCAAACCCCTAGTTCTAAATTCTCCCGTCAAAGGATTCGGGGATGGGCAAAAATTGTTGATCCAATCAGCGACTGAATAAGAAGAATCAGATTATCTTGTACTTTAGTAAACTTCAATGCTATATCATTAGCCTGTCCAAACTTTCCTCTTAAGATAACTGTCCGTTCAAGCCTAGTAAATCTTCTCTAAATTGCTTTGACCATATTTGCATCCTTCATTAAATAAAGAGATCAATACTTACCCTGAAGTCTAGGAGGTGTAAATTACATTGTAAGAATGCGTAGATGTGTGTAAATTCCAGAATGGTCCACCATCTGGTTTATCATGATGAATGTGTATTTTCACTATTTGTAATTTGGATCTTTTCCTTCAAAATTTGTCCATTTTTAAACCAAATGCTAACACCTTAGTGTGATGAAAAATCAATATTCCAACAATTATTGAGTGCTTTTTTCCTATTTGCCAAACATTGGATTATCTGCTTTACCATGAGCTATTATACAGGTATAGCTTTGAAAGTTGTTTTTGTGGGAAATTTGGATCTTCAGTATTTCTTATATTGTCAATGCCACTTCTGAAACTGTTTAAACAACAGTCATTAAAATGTAAGCTAAGTTATTACAGCCAAGGGGAGGATTGAGTATTATCAGTACTTTTACAGAATTGAGTTTTTGAATATGCTAAGGCAATGTAGATAGGGAGAAACATTTCACCTTAGAACTACCCCTGGTCAGTGATCCCTCTAAGGTGTGGGGCAATAGGTTTGAATGGGATTTGAGGAGAAAAATAATTCACCCAGAAGATAGTCAGTATCAAGAATGCAGTACCTAAAGGTAGAGGCAGCTATTCATTTTAGATATTTATAGCTTACAAGGTTATGGGTCAAGTGCTTGAAAATGGGATTAGAATAGATGAATGCTGTTGACAGGCAGACGTGATGCACCGAAGGGTGGTGTTTAAAAAAAAAAAAGCTGGCTGTCTAAATGTATTGAAGTAGTTTGTTTGTCTTTGTGGGATGTGGGCCTTTCTAACTGAGTGAAAATTTATTATAGAGTCATAGAGATATGCAACGTGGAAACAGACACTTTGGTCCAACTTGTCCACGCCGATCAGATATCCTACATAAATCTAGTCCCATTTGCTAACATTAAGCTTTAAACCCTTCCTATTCATACATCCATCCAGATGTCTTTTAAATATTGTAACAAAAAAACTTAGCTGCTCCCTTGCTGCGGTCACCCCACACAAGTTTCTCCAAGGTCAGCTGTGAATTTGGCTGTTTTTGTTTTTCTTAGATGAATTCTGGATGTCCAGAGGTACTTGAAATCAAACAGCAGAGGCAGTAGCTGTGAAAGATCAGACAGCAGTGTAGGTTTCTTTCTCCGTTGACTCACTTCCCACCATGTGGTCACTTATTAATTGCTCATCACCTAGTTGCCTAGCAGCCTAGTGAAATCTGTATTTCACTGCCTTTTCTGAATAGATATTAGGGCTCTTTTAATGTGTGCCCAGTTTTGCAAGTAGTCTCCGAGATTAGAGACTTAAGTTTTTTTTTTATATATAGTTGAGGTGTTCTAATGTTTTATTTAGGTTAGGGCTTTTTAAGATTTTAAGTTATTTATCTGTTTAGACAAGAGATGGAATTTGTTTCTAAAGAGCATCATCAACCTCAGATGCTGTCTTGATAAAATCAAAAATTCCTCTATAAATCTATGACCCAAAGTTCCTTCATTGTTCCAGGGTGATGAGGCAACTTCCATTCCGAGCTGAAGTTACTTCTGTTTAACACCAAAATGTGTCACATCATTGAATTCCATCTGTCACTAACTTATTGCTGATTTTTCTTTTAGAAACTACAGAAATCATTTGTGGTATCATGTGCAAATTTTGACACCCATTTCCTCTAGGTCTATATCTAATTGTCTAATCTAAATCTGATATAGGATTGAGTTTACTTATGATGTTTGGGTATAACATTGGTTTGCAAGTGTACTTGCAGAGAGTTGCTTCTTAGATTGTCACAAACATGTGGTATAATGTTGTGGTGTTCGCAATACTTCCCTATTCAGAAAGGCAAATTTTTTTATAGTTTTTTTTTAAAAATCACCTGACATTCAACATTTGTAAATTCAGTTTATGGAATGCAGACTTCTACAAACCGATTTCAAACACAGAATGCTAGAGAAATGCAGCAAGTCTGGCAGCATGTTTAGATGGAGAAATTGAGTTAAAAGTTTTTATAAGACTGCTGGTTTATAGTTAATTTGTTCAACCAGTTGGACATGTAATTCCTCCTGGGCCGTTTGGACTTCAAGCTGGACTTTCTGCCCCAGAGGTAGGAACACTGACGTTGCACTGAGATACCCAACCAATTTATACTTGGATACCAAATGATCAGTTTTATTTTTATGAAGTGAGTTGCTCATTTCAGTCTCTTCTGCTATTCCGTAAGTAATGAGTGTTCTACTTGTCTATCATTTCCTGTATTGCAAGAGAAAGTGGTGGTGGTAGTAATGAGCAGTGGAGAGGGTTGGGGACATGCAAAGATGGGCATTGGCTATGAGTGAACAGGATTGGAGAAAACAGGAAAGATCAACTGTGACATTGGGAGATTGTACTGAAAAGGTGGGATGGGTGGGTGGGTCGGCTGCAGTGGTATAAGGTGAAAGGACTGGAGGAAGGTCTAAGATGAAGAGACATTGGTGCTGTGAATATGACAGGAAAGGTATTTTGTGCCCCTTTCCTTTTTTCAATTTCCAGTTCTTTAGACCTTTTCACAAGTATTGGAGCAAAGAAACAAGTCATTTGAAAGATCAGTTGGCACAGAAGGTATGGTTTGCAGATAATTGGTGTGTCAGAATGGAACATAGTTGATGCACCAAATGTGGAAATCAGCAACACTTCATAATAAACCAATGCTGTGCTACTTTAATGCTAATTCATGGGTTATTTACTTTTAGAAGCCATTTTATTATATTCAAAAACGCCAAACTAACCATTGCAAGTGCAACACTAATTGCTTCAGCCTTCTTGGTAAGTTCATAATTCTGAGGCAAAAAGATAAACTGTAAATTGTGTTAATTGGCTTGCTTTGTCTTGTGCAATTTGTGTTAAATTAAGTCCTAGATGAAAGTTGCCTTTGTACTTGTAATGTCATTTTGTTGACCTGATGACTGCACTTTTTGTGACCCTCTCCATTCTGTATACAGCAGTGTTAGGTGAGTTTCTTAAGATCTTGAAACGACAATTAAGAATGAGTAATATGTTAAGATCAGGATGTATGCATAATTGGGAATTTAACTTAGAGGTGGTGCTCTTACAGTATTGTGGCTCTTACAGTTGCAGGGGAGGAAGATACTGTTAGCATAAGTTATGTAAATGTCACCTACGTGAGCTTTAGTGGAACTATTGCAAAGACCGTTTTTAAATTTTGGATTGTGGATCAAAACTGGAAATGGAAAATGTGGAAGAAGTTCCAGTTTTAAAACAAGCTACCAGAAGTCGTTTATGAATAGCATTTACACTGTTGCTTTGCCCAAAGAATGGGGATGAATTGGAACCGTGGCTGTGTTCAGGAGATTTTGATCTGACAGCCTGTCAGTGTGTTTTTCTTCATCGGGACCAGTTGTGTGGCTTGGTACGACAACTCTGACTCCTGGACAGTTGAACAACCTGTCTGAGAGTCATACATGACCAAGAAGACAGCCCCACGCATGCCCCCATCCCCTCTCGCAATCCCTTCAGAATTGGACGGTAGCTGCTTATTTGTGACCGAGAGACTGCCAGCTGTCCCATGTTGAAGGTTGGGGATTAGAAGAACTGAGAAGAAGCAAAGAATGCCTTGTTAATCCACAGGATTCGGTGCTATTGAACTGCGCTCCCCTGCATCTTTTTTTCTCCACCCGTAACATTTTTTTTGTCTGTGCAGATGTGTAGTGCTTTAAGATGGAGTAGTGTTGTAAGTTTTATAATGCATATTTTTGTCTCTAGTTAGAATAGATTTCTTCATAATAACTTTCTTGATGGGTACAGAAACCTGGTCAGTGCTTTTCAGTTGACCTGTTCCATCAGACTGAAAGACTTGGGACTTGGAGTAATTTTGATTAAATCTTAAACTTTAACAATCAACACCAGGAGTGATGGGGCTTGAGTATCAGAGACTATCTCGAGATTGAGGGCTCTTACTAGGATTACTCTGGAACAAAGACAATAATGGTGTGGAGCTCTGAATTAAAGAACGTGCCAGGTTTTTAATTTTTTTTTAAAAGGGCACTGGAAACTGCTAAGGCACCTTTTAGAGCTTTGTTCTGCTCTTTTGGTCATGGGTTCACTTGTCTCTGTCTCTGTCTCTTATTGCTTTTGGTGTTTACCATGAAGGTAGTGTCATGTATTAATCTGTTTACTAGGTTTGCACCATGTTCTAAAGCATGCCTGGTGTTGATTCTGGGACATTTTAATACAATCCTCTGAGATCCTGGCTCAGTCAAAGGAGGATGTACTGGACAAGGAAATTACAGATTATAATGTGTTGAGCATGTCTCGATGTCTAGTTTTGGGCTTTAAAATCTGAGTGCTAGTTGGCATGGTGGTGTTCCTACATTACGTAATGGAGTACAGCCTCAGAGTGGAATTGGTCCTTTCTGCCAGTATCATTTGAAGTAACAAATGCTGGAGACCAGTGGATCAGACAAGTTTCATGGCGAGAGAGCAAGCTAATGTTTTGAGTCTAGATGACTCTTCATTGATTAAGTTGAAACTGTTTCTTTCCTCTGCATTCTTGAGGGCTAGGTCACTGACTCAATACTGGTAATACTGAGCCACCTTGAAGTCCCCTAGTAAAAGTGTCTGCTTTCTGCATCTAATATTCAACAATTAAAGTGAGGCAGCAGTTGGTAATCGGATTACCTTGGCTTGTGTGACTCGAAGCTGAGTGGTTTCGGGAACTATCCACTTTTTCTATACTTTACTGTACCCCCATGTTTAATTTGTGGGACATTTTGAGGAGCTGTCTCTATCCCCACCCCTCTTTTTCACAATTTTGGACCGACTTAATTGAAAACTAATTTAGGGGTTAATCTAAAAATCTGAATACATACTATGAGGAGGGTGCAAGAAGCCCACAGAACATTTTTCCTTGGATTAGACAAGTCATGGCAGTTGTTTCTTCGTACAAATAGAAGTGCTGCAGCACTGGATTAGTGTTTGAATGCCTAATAATCAACCATGTTATTGTAAGTACATGGCACAATAATTCCGAACAGAGATTTAGTCTGTTTTCATTTCACAGGGAAAATAGTAAGGCACTTGGTCAGTATGAAGCCTTGTTATTCGGGTTGTGTGTTCATTGTAGCACTTGTGTTAATGTTAGTGTTTACTCAATTCTGCTTTGTCCACTAGGTTGAATATATGTTGTTGTCATTTGATCATGAACATCAAAAGGTTCAAGTGTTGCTGCATGGAGAAGAGATTATTCATGAGCTACAAAATCGGGGTGAAAAATCAAATCCCAAGTAAGTCAATGTTTTGTCTGTAAATTGAAATGTTCAGCAAGTGGAAGCTTTGTTTTTATATGCCCAATTTTCTCAGTTTGAGAAGCTGTGATGTAGTGAACTATGTGTCAACCAGGATCCCCTTATGGCCCTCCTTGCTGTGTATGCACGTATTTCTGCCAGGTAAAAATAAAATTTTGGCTTGGTTGTGACAATCCTAATACTTTGGTAACCAATCGAGACAGGGCATCCACAACGACTATTTGGAGAAGTTCCAAGCTTATAGAATTGTAACCTACTGAAGGAATCAAAAGTTCAGTCAGAAAATTGAGTTTTCTTTTCATGATTGACAAATTATTTGTTACTTCATGTCAGTGCCATGAAGATATTCAAAAAATTGGTGAAAAAAATGCAACTTTCTAATCTAAGGCAGTTCTTTAACATGGATACTTTACTAGCTGTTGAAACAACTACTATAACTCATGGTACTGTTTGCTCTGTTAAGTTTTCACCCAAGTGGCTACTCTTCATATCTATACTTGTACCTTGCTTATTGGCAAGCCATTACAACTGTGAAAGAAAATCTCCTCTACAAGGTCTTCTTACCTGATGCCTTCGATATACTTGCGAGCCTAGTCATAAGACCTTTAGCATCATTTTATGATTGGCAAGTACACATAAGTAAAAGGCCATACTTAGAACTTCGATTGTTCTGTGCCATAAATGCAGTTAACCACTTGGATAATCATCTTCAAAAACAAAAGTGAACTAAAGTCTATAATGTGAGAAACATTCATTTACCTTTGTTTTACAAAAGCCATCCTACTCTTTGGAGACCTGAATATGGCAGCTATATGATTGAAGGTACTCCAGGGCAACCATATGGAGGAACAATGGCAGATTTTAACACTGTGGAAGCAAACATGAAGTTTCGTCGACAAGAAGTGTTTTCCTTATTGAAAGTGAATGAGACCATCTGCACCATCACTACTTTCCCCAGGTAAGCGAGTTGTTTTTTCAAATTCGTATAAAGTAATTTGAAACATAAACAAAGCACAGACGATTATTAGTGATGTGGTCTGCTGCATTATTTTCCCTTCCGCAAGCATTTTGATAGTATCTTATGTAGAAGTGATTTTATGCTTCTTTCATAAAGCTTACTGATTGCAACTGCATACCGTCCATACAGCAAATGCCCTCTTGTATTGCACATCTTGTTTGATGGAAGGATACAATTTTTATAAACAGGCATTTGATTTTGTTTTGGATGGAATTCAATGGAGTACTGATTATCAGATTTACATTTGTCTCAGGTCGTGAATCACCTTAAAGTTGAGAGGTACAGGATCTCTAAAGTAACCACAAATCATCTGCATAAAACTTTCAGGAATTTATGTTTGGATGTGTTTTTCAATTTTTTGTACAGCAAACTTTGTTTTAAATAGCACCTTATGAATGGCACTGTGATAAACCAGCAAAAATTATTATCCTCAAATACTGGATATTTGCTGCATTTTTGCAATGTCAATGTAGCCAGTTAAGGGTGCAATTGAGAAAGCTGTCTGCCAGTAAGTTTTTATTTAAGGCAAAGTTGTATTATTATTTGTCATTAATGCTGTAAATAAAGTATAAGCGTCTATACCCCTTACTTATATTTCTATTAATTAGTGTGTTTTTACATTGATTTATGTGGACTCCTTGATCAACCAGAATATTTGATTAACTGGCACACTCCTGGTCCCATAGGTGCTGGTTAATAAAAAGCTTGCTGTAATGAAGTAATTCTCCATGACAGACTGTGCAGTTTGACTTTGCTACGGTTTACTTCTCTATTAATAAATCTGTCAGTTTATAGCCTGAGGCAATATCTGGTGTGCTTTGTGACCTTCAGAAGTCAAAGAAATTAGCAACTGGTAATGTGTTGAATATGTTTAATACAGTAAAATTGCAATAATTGACCAGTGATTAAAAGGCACATGTTGTTTGCTTTGGAAGACAGCAAAGGCTCACTTAACGAAGCAGACTTTTTTGTGTGCTATAAAGACCATGACATTTTATTCTGTATTTTTAATTGTGAACTGAAATAGGGAATTTTTTTAAAACCAAGGATTGCTGAAAGATTCAGCTTTTAAAGCAAGTAACCTGATACTCAATGTAAGTGCCATTTACACAGCTACTTGTTTAAGCATTAGTTGAAGTGTAGTTTGCAGATGAGCTAGATCCAAAGATCCAAACATATGGAGTCTCAGCCCGCGATGAATAACTGAATGGTCTGTGGAGTAGTTACCAATTTTTAATGACAGTCATCTTCTGCCTGCCAGTGATAGTTTGAAGATAGCTGGACAGCTTGGGGATGTGAACTACATAGGGAGAAGGCTTCAGATCTCCACCAGCTCAGGGTCTGTCTCTATTTTCTGCAGCAAAACCCACTTTTTAAGTCTGAAGAAAACCAGTTTGTTCTTCCTTCAGTTGCTGTAAGCTGTAACCT